ACATATAATGCCTATATGTTTATATAGTTATAATATATATAGTTATGATATAAATATGTATATATATATATATATATATATATATATATATATATATATATATATATATATATATATATGAAATATCATCGATTACAGACAAGGTTTGTCTGAACTTACAGGTTCTTTGATGTGACTTTAATTTCTCTACATACCGAGTTTTGCGATTAACAATACCGATGTACACAAATGACGAGCCATTTATTTACCTCTTTTCGCCAGGCAATTCTTTTCACGAGTCAGTGCCTTAATTCCTTACACTGTGAGGATTCGATACAGCGTTGTGAAAGAGCGATAAGGAGATATACGCGAAGGATGTTCCAGCTCTCTCCGGGCAGCTGACATTACGCGTCGGGAGTCTGGCATCGTAAGAGTTTAATTAGATATTAGCTGATACATGAATGAGGCTTAATGGCACTGGAAGCAAGGGACTTATGTTTGACTTCATAATTTGAAAAACGGAAACATATTTTGAGTGTTTGACTTACGTCCTGCAAAGTTAACGTATGAGTTTTTTTATAAATATTTAGGTTATCAGAAAAAGTTTACGTTTATTATGGCCGATAAAAGGCTCATTAAAGAAATCGAACTTTTAAATACTTTTTCCTAGAATTGCTATTCTAGCATGTCCACAGCGTGATGTAAGAATCGTGAAATAAAATAAAGAATGCAAAGCAAATGTATTAATATATGTACAAAAATACATACACATGCACAGGCACACTATATTGACTTACCTTAAGAAAGCATATGTTACAACGTTTTCGTTCTTAAAGTAGTACTGTATATGCTTACCTTCCAAACTGACAGCAATCATATGCTCCCATAATCATTTATATGTACGACCACATGCACAGACACATATGCACGCGCACACACGCACGCACGCGCATGCACACACACACATACACACACACTAAACAAGTAAACCCGTTTAACCAGGCTGTGGTAGATGCTGTACATTTAAGACCATGCGTTTTTTTTTTCTCTCTCTCTTCTTTTCTTTTCTTGTTTTCTTTCTTTCATCCTAAGTATCAGGTTTGCTATCATATCCTTATGTACGTTAACGTGATTCGGGTTTTTTCCCTCCTGTTAGCTTTCAGGTCTGCTGTGATCTCTGCTCTGCTTCAGATTTCCTTCAATCCTCCTCACAGGGGAGAGGCGAGAAGTCGGGGCCGTGAGGAACCAACTCGAAGTCGATCTCCAAACCGCTCATCTCTTCTCAGTATATTCTGCGAGCCTTTCTTGTCATCATTTCTGAGGATTTTCACTTTCCAGGAACCCACTTTTTTCTTTCTTTCTTTACTTCTCCAAGCAAATAATAATAATCTGCTTTATCCGACAACTAAAATAAATGGAAAGATTTCGTCCTCTCCATAATATCCGAAAATTGACTTTTCCATTTTCTTCCTTTTGATATGACCAGTAGCCGTCAGCTTCTCAGCAGT